GGCTGGGTGTGCTGATGGGGCTGGGTGAGCTGATGGGAACTGGGGGAGCTGATGGGGGCTGTGGGGAACAGCATGAAGCTGACAGTCTGGCTGTCCCTGGTGGCGCCCGGGTGGGCAGCAGAGGCGAAGCCGTGGTGACAGGGCCTCTGTGTGTCGCAGATTCTCTCTCCCTACAACAAGGGCCTCATCCGACGAGCCATCAGTGAGAGCGGCGTGGCGCTGGCCCCCTGGGCCATCCAGAAGAACCCTCTCTCCTGGGCCAAGGGGGTAAAGGGGAGCTGTGGTGGGCAGGGGGAGGGTTACCTCCTGTCCATGCCCTGTCCCGGTCACCATGGCCGTCTGCCCCACACTGGCCTCACCTACCTGTCTCCCCACAACCCCCAGATCGCCAAGAAGGTGGGCTGCCCCCTGGACGATACCGCCAGGATGGCCAAGTGTCTGAAGGTCACCGACCCCCGGGTTCTGACGCTGGCCTATAAGATGCCTGTTTTGGGACGGAAGTGTGAGTGGGGACTCCATATGGGGGGAGGGCCATGCTCCCAAATAAGTGAGGATTGAGGGGCTGCGGCCTGGCCTGTCACCCGCTCACTGGCGTCCCTGGGAGCCCGGTGCCGCCAGGGCCCTTGTTGCCTCCGTGGCTTCGACTGGCTGTGCCGAGGGCGCCATCCCTCCCTCTGAGCCTCCCTGGGTCCTGACCCCCTTGGGAAGCTGGTGCACCTTTTCCCCCCAACAATGGCCAGAAACAGTCATTTGCACCCAATTTTATGGGCCTCAGGCCCAGTGGCTGTCAGCGGGATGGTTTGTCCCCATGGAGCCTGTGGCAGTCTGCACACAGTCTGGGTTGCCACACTTGGGGGTGCTGACCTCTAGCTGATGGGGCCAGGGAAGCTGCTCCACACCCACAGGGCAGCCCAGGCCTTAGAATTATCCAGGCCCCATGTGAGGGGGACAGGCTGAGGACCCTGGTCTGGATCAGAGGAGGCAGAGGCTGCACCTGGGCCTGGGGTCTGGCAGGGGGGCTCTGAAAGGTGTGAGGACCCCTGCTCTACAAGCAGACCCAGGCGTGTACTATTTGGGCCTCTTGCCTGTCGTGGACGGAGACTTCATCCCCGACGACCCCATCAACCTTTTCGCCAACGCGGCCGACATCGACTACATCGCTGGCACCAACGACATGGACGGCCACCTCTTTGCCAGCGTTGACGTGCCAGCCATCAACGTGGACTTGCTGACCGTCACAGGGTGAGTAGGGTTCAGGGCTAGGGCAGTGCCTGGGGGCCTCTTGGGGAGGCCTCAGCTGGAGAAGGAAGTTGGCCGGTGTAGCGGGCCATCCGCAGGCCCCTTGCAGTGGTTTCGGGGGTATGCTACCGCTGGCCCAGGTCCAGGATCCAGTGTCGGCTTGTCCCTGCAGGGAGGACTTCTTCAAGCTGGTCAGCGGACTCACCATCGCCAAGGGGCCCAGAGGTGCCAATGCCACCTTTGACTTCTACACGGCGTCCTGGGCCCAGGACTCCTCCCAGGAGGCCAAGAAGAAGACGGTGGTGGACTTGGAGACCGACGTCCTCTTCCTGATGCCCACGAAGATGACTGTGGCCCAGCACAGAGCCAACGCCAAGTGAGGGCCGTGGCAGGAGAGGCCTGGGTCATGCACCTGCCCAGCAAGGCCTCCCCAGTGGGCGGCTCAGGGGGTCAGGGAGGCCCGGGAAAGCCGTGATGGGGTCCCAGCGGTGCCGGCACCATCTGCCTTGCCCAGCCCTGAGGAGACTGAGAAGGCCCCTCCTCACCTCCCAGCTCAGGGGCCTTTACAGGGCCCTCCTCAGCCCACAGGCCTCCCCTGGCAGCATCCGCTATCTACTCCCCTCCCCCACGCTGAGTAGGACAAGGCATTTATTGAGAAGGCCAGCCAACCAAGAAGACAGGGTGCTTACAACCATTCAAATCCTGTTTTCCAGCAGGTGTAGGGCACAGGACTATAAAGGCATAGGGGCTCGGGGGCTACGTACAGCCCTGGGTGTCTGCACACATCAGCTATTGTAGTCACTGAACCATGAGATGATGGGGATGAGATGATGGGGATGAGATGATGTGGATGAGATAATGGGGATGAGATGATGTTTTCACTCCTTGTGAGTATGTCTGACCATGCTTATCGGTTCTGCTTGCTGGATTCAAAGCTGAGTCACCTCCTTCATTGCTTTGCACTAGCCTTCAAAGGAAATTTCAGGAAAACTTAACCCCCTATTCACATAAGTATATGTGTTCTAAGACTGAAAATAATAGGATTACCTTTCAGATTAATCCAGGTGCTCTATCTATCAGGTTATCAGTCCCCCTTTCCCTCAGCCCACAGGGCTCCCTGCAGTGTCTGCAAACTCCCCGCAGCCCCCAGGCCGAGGGGGAGAGAACACAGGATGCTGGTCTCTCTTGTGGGTTTGGAGTTTGCCAACATTTATAACAACTTTGGCCTGCGGCCACCTGGTAAACCTCCAGTGAAAATAAAAAGTACATTAGGGATGCCGACACTGAAGGGAGAGAAAACGATGCCTAGGAAGTGTAGGATGAACGCTTGTAGCAACTACATGAACTTGTGTTGTTCATTGGGTGGGTCAGGTATGTACCCGACGAAGAACATAAATTCATCTGCAGAGAAAAGGAAGGAAGACGCCTCCATAGGCTTTGGGGAGGGAAGTGTGGATACACTTGAAATCCCAGAACCACAACTCCATGGCATTCCCTTCCCCGGTGCAGGGACCCAGGTCCCTCCTGAGTCTGGGGATTTCCCGGCTCCTCCCTGCTCTCCCCATGGCCTCCTCCAGGGCCCAGCTCGGGGCTTCGCAGCCCAGGTGAGCTCCCTGCCAACCTGGGCCGTGTCCCTCCCTCCTCAGGAGTGCCCGGACCTACACCTACCTGTTCTCCCACCCGTCTCGCATTCCGTTGTACCCGAGCTGGATGGGCGCCGACCACATCACTGAACTCCCGTACGTGTATGGGATGCCCTTCGCCACCCCCCTGATCTGGCGAGCCCAAGACAGGACTGTCTCCCGGACCATGATCGCCTACTGGACCAACTTTGCCAGAACTGGGTAAGGCGGGGTGAGGCTGGGCCAGGCCTCCTGCCACCTGGGCCCACATGCCTGTCCCCTCACATACACTTAACCTCCCTGAGCCTCAGTACCCCGTGTGTGTGAGGATAGAGCTACTGGTTGGGCACAGAACACATACATGCCCAGCCCGTGCCCAGGAGACAGTGAGGTGCCCTGGTGGTTCAGGTCAGCATGGAGATCTCCTGTGAGCGCTCAGACCCCACACGGCCTTTTCTCTCATCTGCAGGGACCCCAACCAGGGCCACTCGGCTGTGCCCACCCAATGGGAGCCCTACACCCAGGAAAACGACAACTACCTGGAGATTAACAAGAAGATGGATGGCCAGTCCCTGAAGCAGCACCTGAGGAGCAGCTACCTGCAGTACTGGACCCAGACCTACCAGGCTCTGCCCACCGTGAATAGATACGGGGTCACCCTCGTGCCCTACTCAGACGACTCTGAGGGCTCCCCCTGAGCCCCCACTGGTGACTCTGAGGGGGCTCAGATGCCCGCAGACATTGGCTTCTAATGTCCCTGCCCCAGAGGCCACAGGTGGGACCCAGGGAGCCCACCTCCCTCCCCAGCTCTTCCTGAATAAAGCCGCTTCTCCCTCTGGCAACCCTCTGCCCTCATGACCTCAGCTGCCCGCCCGGTCTCTGCCTGTGTCCAGCTCAGGAAGTGGGGTGCCCCCCTCATTTCAGAGGAGAAAAGAGGGTCAGAGAAGCATCAGTGGCAGGGCTGAGCTCAGGCTGCGGGCCCTGATGGGGGAGTGAGTGGGACATGTGGGCAGTTGCCTCTGGACCAGTGGGCCCAGCCTCGGCCACGCCCTCACGGTGCGGGGAGCAGGTTCTGTTTAACGGGAATGGCCTGGGTGAGAAACGGAATCGCCTCCAGCTGGTCCCAGGCAGAGACAGTAACGAATCCCGCTGGGCTCAGAGCAGAAGGTACAAAGGCTTGGCCTTGGGTGCCCACCGGCAGGGCCAGGGGTGCTGCCCGCTGGCTCTGGCAGAGACCGGAGGGGAGCAGGAGGCAGAGGTCAGACGTAGGGCCATGGCCACCTCAGCAAGGTCTGGGGCGGGGCACCGCCTGCACCGAGGGCTCCCCAATCCTGACCTCACATGGCCCAGGCTGTGGGCATGTGGACACCCCGTTGTGGACAGTTACTGTGAGACATGCTCACCTGTCCGAACTCAAATAGGGACTCGGAGACAGAAGTGCGGTCAAAGTGAGACCTTGAATGAGCTCTGGAGAGAGGGTGTCTGCCCATTGCACAGGCTCACCTGGGTGGGAACACAGCCCATTTATTTGGCCCTCCTCCGGTTCCTCATTGGCTGAGTGCTATGGGCTCAGCTGTTTCCTGACACATCAACTCGGTCCTCCCATTGGGCCCTTTAATAAAATTGGGCTGAGGCCTTTTCTAGTTGCTTCCCCCTCCCCCTGTCTAGCTGAGGCAGGTGCCTGGAGGGTCTCCACCATGATGCCCGCCCACACCCACAGGGCCTTGGTCTCACATTCTGGTCCCTCCCCCTCCCTTCTCTGAGCCTGGGGAGGTTCAGCCACCGCTTGCATCAGGAGCTGGCCATGCCGGCCCATGTCCTACAGCGCCAGGGCTCCATGAGGGGTCACGTGCCCCAGGCCTTCACAGCGAGGACTCAAGCCCAGGTCTGAGACGCCAAAGCTACCAGGTCAGCTCAAAGCAGACGTGAGGGCTCAGAGGAGGAGAGAAGGCTGCTGGGGGTGTGCATGGCAGGGGCAGCTCCAGGGGACCAGCCAGCCACCCTGATGCACCCTTCCTCTCTGTAAAAAATAATCAAAATATATTTTTTTAAAAAGGGAATTAATTAGCGGAGAAATTTTAATATTGCTATTTGCCCTTTCTCTGTAATAGAAGTGTGAGAGATGAAAAGAAATTAGTAAAATGTTTATGAAATAATATATAAATTTATTAATAAACAGTAACAAAAGGATATAACAACAACAGAGGCATGATATAAAAATGACAAAAA